TCGGATGATATTTTCTAAAATCGTTAACATATCCTGTATATTTTCGATCATTTCTCATAGGATGCGAGTTTCTTGAAAAACAAAATTTAATTTACTTGATATGGGCATATTTTTGAGTAGGGAGCTAACAGAGATAATCAAAATGAACTTACCTACGTTTTTTCTTACAATGGATGATACATACAGTTTATACATTATATACATTAGATCATTACATTTTATCTATTTGCTTTAGCAGTCTCTGGTTGAAAAATTGACCTCCACCTCCCCACTCCCTTATTGGTTAACTTTTTGAAAAATTTTATTAAGAAGATATACTCCCTTTGCTATCTATATTATATATATAAATCTCTAAGTCCTGACTGATTACTGACTCATCAACGCCCAGACCAAATCCTTGACCCTAGAAAGCTGAAATTTTGCACAGGGGTTCCTTTTATAATGTTTACGTGAGATAAGAAAGGATTTTTTAAAATTCATCCCCTAAAGGGGTAAAAAGGGGGGTGCAATATTACAATATTTTTTATTTAAAAAACGGTCAAGTTTCCGAAAAAACGCTTAAACACGTGTATTTTATTTTCTTTTTTTACATATTTTAAGATTTTTTAAAAATGTATACAGGGTGTTTCGAAAAATCTGGTCATTGATTAATCACGATCCTGCTTAAAGTGCTTGACGTAAAAAGATGATTTTTGGAAAACGGATTGACTTTAGGGTGTAGAGGTTCGATAAGAAGGGATTTTTCGAAACTCGAATTCTAAGGGGGTGAAACCACCCCTCAAATATTAGAATATTTTTTATTTTAAAACCGGTGAGTTTTTCGGAAAAACTCTTAAACACGTATATTTTATTTTGTTGTTTTACATATTATGAGATTTTTTAAAAATTTATACAGGGTGTTTCATAAAATATGACCATTGAGTAATCACGATTCTGCCTAAACTGCTTGACGTTTCAAGCTGATTTTTGGCAAACGGGTTGACTGTGGGGTGTAGAGGTTCGATAAGGAGGGTTTCTCGAATCTCAAATTCCAAGAGGGTGAAAACGCCCCTCAAATATTACAATATTTGTTATTTAAAAAACGGTTGGTCTTTCGGGAAAACGCTTGGACACGGATAATTTATTTTCTTTTTTTACATATTTTGAAATTTTTAAAAAAATCATACAGGGTGTTTCAAAAAGTTGGGTAATTGATCAACCACGATTCTGCTTAAACTGCTTGACGTAAAAAGCTTATTTTTGGCAAACGGATTTTTCAAAAGTCAAATTCGAACGAGATGAAACTACCCCTCAAATATTACCAAGTTATATAATAATATCGCCATATTGTTTTTTCTCATGCTGACATAAATGTGAGAACATTTTATCCAGTTTTTATGCTAATGGAAATTCTTGCTTTGCTTTATCATCACCATTGCGGGTAAACGCTAGTAGTTTGTATATTTTTCAAGTCAATTTGATCAAACTAGAAGATAATTAGGACAGCCCTATAAAGGATTAAAAAACTAATTTTCTGTATGATTTTTAATGCTATTTCAGTTGAAACAGTTTTTCAAAAATACATAAAAATGTTAATATGTGCGTTGATATTAAAATAAACATATGAGGAAATCAATCAAAATAGTGATGTGGTAATAATTTAATAGATTTCGTGACTTAGATGTATCAAAACACTTAAATATTATTTATGATTTCTCTTCCTAGATGTGAGTTAAGTACTTCCCATTATAATTTATCATCTTTTTAAGAAATTAAAGTCATACTTGAATTTAATTCATATGCCGCGGGTTTTTTAAACTTTATAATATTATACCAGGTGTAAAGCTTTTCTAGGAGTATGTGTTCCATAGAAGACTGTATAATACAGGGAGCTCGTAAACCAGGAAACATAGATAGATGATTAAATTAAGGAAAATTTGCGCTTTTCTGGTTTACGAGTGATCCCAGTATTGTAGTGTGTATTCTTTTATCAGCCACCGTGTATAGTTTACAAGAGAAAGCATTTTTTAAAGTCATTATATCCTCACCTTAATTTATCCACATTTACGAACCTTAACGACTAAGTGAGAGAGAGAGAGGGCCAATAAATAAAGAAAAGAAACGGTAAACATATCTCACTTATTTGACATGACTTTCACCTGAAAGGAACCGGACTGGTCGCATTTTTGTTTATTACATGGACCAGTTACTCAAGAATTATTTAATCATCTTGGCCAGTGCCAAAAACAAAGATAACATCGAAAATATTACCCACGGAAATTTGTTTAAGACGGCCTTTTTTATATACCGAGTGCGTCTCGAAAGTGGCTCACCCCCTATAACTTTTTTATTTTTTCAGATAAAAAACGAGCTTTCGCGTATTCACTTGTTTTTAGTCACTTCCTGTTTCACCGGAAATTACTATAACTTTTGATTTTTAAATGACACACTCGGTATTTTTTTACTTTATTTAATAGAAAATGACATTCTGAATAGAATGACATATCACATGTCAACTTTTGACATTCTCGCTTAATAAAAAATCGTATTTTAAAATTCAATCTAGAGTGCGGTGGCTATGTTAAAAACACTAATTCTTAACTAAGGAGTCTTGGAAAAATAGATTTGATCGTCTAATGTTTTTAGTGTCTTTTTGTCAGTTTTTTCAAATGGAACCAGGGTGGCTCATTAGCATATTCGGAAAAAGATTTTTTTTACGAATAATTTGATACCACACACTGAGTATTTCGAGTCAAATTTTTGTTACGAACCGCAAGTTATAATTTCAAATAAACCATATGCGAAAATGTCAAAAGTTGACATATGATATGTCATTCTATTCAGAGTGTTATTTTCTATCGAATAAAGTAAAAAAATAACGAGGGTGCCATTTAAAAATCAAAAGTCGTAGTCATTTCCGGTTAAACAGGAAGTGACCGAAAACAATTGAATACGTCAATCAATCCTAATTTATGTCATATACTAACATACCAAATCTCGTTTTTTTAACTGAAAAAATAACAAAGTTATATGGGTGAGCCACTTTTGGGACGCACCCGGTATATCAATTTTTTCAATGCTGAAATTGTCAGATGTTTATAAATATCTACCGGGTGATGCCCTAGGTATATATGACAAATTCTTAATGTTTTATTACATTTGATTGACACAATAGTGAAAAACATCCTGTAACATATTTTGTTAAAAAGAATTTCGATTATTTCAAGGTAAATCCCAAAATACCTGTTTTGAATCCTTGTGTATAGTCAAAATTGTTTATTGGATTTTTTTTCAAGAAATAGTAATTAGTTGTGTATACTTAAGTAGTTTATAACAAAATCCGGTATAACTTATTTGTTTTTGAAATGTCATTAACATATCATAATAGTATTGCACGAAATAAGTTGTTTCTGTTTGAAAAAATATATTAATATGAATTCTATGGATATATGAATATCTTCTATATGAATAATTTGTAACCCGCAGCTAAAAAGTGCATATATTTTAACAGGTAGATGTCTTTTGGTAAAAACATTGTTGAAAATTTTACATTTTTTCAGCATTTTTCAGAAAATTTATGAAGAAAACTTTTTACTGTCTTAGGTTCATTCTTCTGAATAATAAAAAACTATTTATTTCTAATGGCAAATGATAGTCAAATGCCACTAATGTCATTATATTCTAGCATGGCTGAAATAGTAATGTTAAAATAGGAATTATATTGGAGACACCAACAGACGATCAGACAATAAACCTCATTAAAAAATAAGTTAATTTCTGCCCAGTCATATGCAAGTTTTATCCACTCATATGAAACGGTTAAAATGATATTTCATCCACTAGTGAAATAAAATACCGTATGATCGAAGAAAAAAACGGCGTCCAGTTGGCTTGGAAATGACGATTTATATAAATGACGATAATTACTTAAAATCAACTTGTCCAAAATTCTTCAGATTTGACTTGTGTATTCGGCATACGCATCAGATCTTTAAAAAACCTATTTACAACTTCGCTGAAAAATTTACAGGGGAGCCAGTACCCTGAGAAGTTCAAAATTTGCATGCAAAATGTTTCCAACGACGATGTACCACCCGGTATATAAATAAGCATAATTCTGTATATTATGTATTATTTTAGGTCAAAATTCTTTCAAAAATGCGCTACATATATCAGAACGACAAATCTAACATTAAAATAGTCGAATTCAATAAATATTTTCGTGGTTTGATCTGTATCTGACTTTGTAGCAACCCGTTTGAAAATTAAGGCAAGCCATTAACGAAAATTTATATGCAAAACGTTCCCGATAAAATATGGCATCCATTTTGCCAATAAATTTCTAAACAAACGGCAATCATTCACGTTGGGAAATAAGTGGAACAATGTCAGGAGTGTTACGTAAGTTTTCCACGTGAAAATTATATTGTTTTTCCGACCATTGTTGTTGTTTTTGCATGAAGAAAATCTATGGGTTTAGTTTATCCTGCAGAAAATAATATAAATTAGTTTTTTTGAGAAAACGGTTAACCTTACTCTACAAGATCAAGGTACTCAACTACTGAGTAAAAATAAAAATAAAACAACTCAAAATAACATATAACATTCACTAAAAAAATATATATCCTGAAAATTGTTTAATTGCAATAACTGTAATTTTTTGAGGTTCTCAGTTAAACGCCCTGTGTATTTCCAGTCACACAGAAATAACTAAAAATCTCATAATGAGTAACATAAATATAATTGCTAATAAGAAACTATAACATGAATCATTTATGCAGTAATACAGTAAAAACCGAACGTTAGAATGTAAAACAAACTATTTTTATATATTTTTGTGGTTATCATGTGATAGAAAACAATTATTAAATGATCTGATTTTAGAATTTTCCTGATAATAAACTATTTGTTTTTAATTGTTATTATTAATACCCTGACGCACATTCACCATAAAATGTTATAGAATAACAAATTATTTTTATAAAATTAGGTATATACCTAAATATCTTTTTCTTTTTCAGGAGTTTCACTATATGGGCAACAAGCATATTGATCTTCTCCACTACCACACTGTGTTCCACTAACTTCAACGTAACATCCTACATTAACAATCTTCCTGAAGATGTCAAGCCTGCAGTGCAAAAAGCATTCCATATGGAGAAAGAATCCGAAGACAGTACCACCGTAGACACTTGCAAAACTGAAGATAACTTTAATTGCCCTCCTAGTAAATACAGAACCACTTCAGGGGAGTGTAATAACGTGAGACATCCCACATGGGGTACTAGAGGATCGCCATTTTTGAGACTGTTACCTCCTACATACGCTGACGGTAAATAAATAAAAGTTGGACACTTGTCAAAAGTACTTTAAATAAAACTTCTTTTTTTCAGGGAAATCACTGCCTAGAGAATCGTTCGATAGCATTCCTCTACCGACATCAGTGGATGTAGCGAAGGAAATTCAAAAAATTCCCGCCAAAGCTCACGATTCTCTCACTGCCCTCTTGGGAGCGTGGAGCGAACTACTGTTGCACGATTTAGCGAGTACCGGAAATCTGAAAAGCAAGGACTGTTGTAAGGGTACTGCCAGGTTTAATCAGGAGTGTTATCCGTTGGTTCAAAAAGGTTCTTGTAAGGAGTATTTGAGGACGCTGCCTTCAATGGATATGGAAAAATGCAATTTTGGTAAAAAAAAGTATTATTTTTATGTAACGAAGTTTTTAAATGGTGTTTTCACCCATTTTAAAACGTCAGATTATATTGAAAAATTTTGATCAGGATCAGCAGGAATAATGAATTATTGGTTCCGAATTCATACCAAAAATTTTTATATTATACAGAGTGGGTTTTAAATAAGTGCAAATATTTTCAGGGCTGGTAGATCTCGACAAAAGAAACATATTTTCTCTTTACCGTTTTTCAAATAAGTCCAATATAACTTGCAATTATTTTACAAACTACTGGACTGGGTCCTTTCGAACTGGATGGCTTGTGTCCATCAGCAGTTTACCATAAGCTGAAGAAGTATGATTCTTCAATTGTGGGGTATAAATTCATTATTAAATAACATTATTATCATTAAAAGAATATATTAAAACCGAATTATGACGAGAAAACTTTCCTGGACTGGGTCCTTTCGAACAGGATGGCATGTGTCCATCAGCAGTTTACCATTAGCTGAAGAAGTATGATTCTTCGGTTGTGGGGTATAAATTCATTATTAAATAACAATATTATCATCAAAAGAATATATTAAAACCGAATTATAACGAGAAAAATTTCCTAGACTTGGTCCTTTCGAACTGGACGGAATGTGTCCATCAGCAGTTTACCATTAGCTGAAGAAGTATGATTCTTCGGTTGTGAGGTATAAATTCATTATTAAATAACAATATTATCATCAAAAGAATATATTAAAACCGAATTATAACGAGAAAATTTTCCTGCAGTGGATCCTTTTGAACTGGATGGCATGTGTCCATCAGCAGTTTACCATTAGCTGAAGAAGTATGATTCTTCGGTTGTGGGGTATAAATTCATTATTAAATAACAATATTATCATCAAAAGAATATATTAAAACCGAATTATAACGAGAAAATTTTCCTGCAGTGGATCCTTTTGAACTGGATGGCATGTGTCCATCAGCAGTTTACCATTAGCTGAAGAAGTATGATTCTTCGGTTGTGGGGTATAAATTCATTATTAAATAACAATATTATCATCAAAAGAATATATTAAAACCGAATTATAACGAGAAAATTTTCCTGCAGTGGATCCTTTTGAACTGGATGGCATGTGTCCATCAGCAGTTTACCATTAGCTGAAGAAGTATGATTCTTCGGTTGTGGGGTATAAATTCATTATTAAATAACAATATTATCATCAAAAGAATATATTAAAACCGAATTATAACGAGAAAATTTTCCTGCAGTGGATCCTTTTGAACTGGATGGCATGTGTCCATCAGCAGTTTACCATTAGCTGAAGAAGTATGATTTTTCGGTTGTGGGGTATAAATTCATTATTAAATAACAATATTATCATGAAAAGAATATATTAAAACCGAATTATAACGAGAAAATTTTCCTGCAGTGGATCCTTTTGAACTGGATGGCATGTGTCCATCAGCAGTTTACCATTAGCTGAAGAAGTATGATTCTTCGGTTGTGGGGTATAAATTCATTATTAAATAACAATATTATCATCAAAAGAATAATATATTAAACCGAATTATAACGAGAAAATTTTCCTGCAGTGGATCCTTTTGAACTGGATGGCATGTGTCCATCAGCAGTTTACCATTAGCTGAAGAAGTATGATTCTTCGGTTGTGGGGTATAAATTCATTATTAAATAACAATATTATCATCAAAAGAATATATTAAAACCGAATTATAACGAGAAAATTTTTCTGCAGTGGATCCTTTTGAACTGGATGGCATGTGTCCATCAGCAGTTTACCATTAGCTGAAGAAGTATGATTCTTCGGTTGTGGGGTATAAATTCATTATTAAATAACAATATTATCATCAAAAGAATATATTAAAACCGAATTATAACGAGAAAATTTTCCTGCAGTGGATCCTTTTGAACTGGATGGCATGTGTCCATCAGCAGTTTACCATTAGCTGAAGAAGTATGATTCTTCGGTTGTGGGGTATAAATTCATTATTAAATAACAATATTATCATCAAAAGAATATATTAAAACCGAATTATAACGAGAAAATTTTCCTGCAGTGGATCCTTTTGAACTGGATGGCATGTGTCCATCAGCAGTTTACCATTAGCTGAAGAAGTATGATTTTTTGGTTGTGGGGTATAAATTCATTATTAAATAACATTATTATCACCAAAAGAATATATTAAAACCGAATTATATCGAGAAAACTTTCCTGAAGTGGGTCCTTACGAACTGGATGGAATGTGTCCATCAGCAGTTTACCATTAGCTGAAGAAGTATGATTTCTCGGTTGTGGGTATAAATTCATTATTAGATAACATTATTATCATCAAAAGAATATATTCAAACCGAATATAACAAGAAAACTTTCCTGGATTGTGTCCTTTCGAAGTGAATGCCATGTATCCATCAGCAGTTTACCATTAGCTGAAGAAGTACGATTCTTGAGTTGGGGGGTTGTTTGAAAATTTTAAAAGACATATTTTTTGCTTAAATTTTGAGAACCACTGGATTTGTTGGGGTTTCCTTTTTTGTAAATTTAATCCACTACCTATGTTTTTAACTAAAAATTTAAAAAAAAATCTAAATTTTCAATCTATTCTTCGGGAAAAAAAACTCATAGAGGTGTTTCTAGGGTCGAAAACCTACTACCCCTAAAAATATTTATGACTCACCCTGTATATCCCTATTTAACACTTTCCTCTTTTTCCCAGTAAGGTATTCTTCAAAACTTCTTAGAGAGAAAGCTATTGTATAAGATCTTAATGAAATTTTGACATTATAAAGTGTGATATTACATCTTTACATACTCAAACCACTCATTGACAATTCTTGTTTGTAGTTTATACAAATACCATTCGAAAACTGTGTTAAATAAACTTTAGAACCTATTAGAAAACATGTATAGCAAATTAATACGACACAAAGTTGTGTAATTCACATAATAGTTGTTTTTATCTGAGGCATGTACCTCTTTATGCAATAGGTACCTAATTATTTATTTAAATTTGCTTACAGCTTACAGAAACCAAATGAACTTAGCCTCAGCTTTTCTCGATGGTTCTGCCATCTACGGAAACACAGATTTAACTGTAGAAAACCTGAGAACTTACGATGCAGGCCTTGTAAATGTATCAGCCTGTACTGCCTGTCAGTCCAACGCACTGTACTCCGCCATTTTGCGAGAGCACAATCGAATTGCTCTAGGATTGGCTCAACTAAACAGACATTGGACTGACGATGTCGTTTTCTATGAGAGCAAAAGAATCGTAACTGCTGAAATACAACATATCACTTACAACGAGTTCCTACCCACTGTTTTAGGCGAAGTAAGTAATTATTTTACCCTAAAACACGACATTTTTGATACTATTTGATTCTGTTTTTAGGAAACTACATCAAATTCAGACCTAAAACTCCAAACCCATGGAAGATACTCTAAATATTCCAGCTCTAAAAGAGCGGGGATCTATAACGAAGTTGCTATGGGTGCTTTACCAGCTTTGCTATCCATGCTTCCCAATAGATTGGTAAGTGAGTCTTTTTTAGCAATTTTTTGGCCATCATGAACCAAAAAAACAGTACAAAATCAAATCACGTTCTTTTAGCTCAACGAAAGTGCTCAAACATTTGCCGAAATGGTCGATATCTTGATCAGTCTTCCTGCACAAACACCCAGCGTCCATATGATGGTACCACTTCGCAAAAACTGGGATACTTCAGCTTTATTTATTCACATGGGACGAGATCACGGTATCTCGGGCTACACGAGCTATATTCAGTATTGTAGTAACACCACCTACAGTCTAAGACCTGGTTTCGAAGATTTATCACCCCTGATTAGTCCTGAAAACATTCAAAAACTCAAAAAACTCTACGGAAGTCCTGATAACATTGATCTTATTGTTGGAGCAATTTTAGAAACTCCTCTTCCTGGAGCTGTCGTAGGACCAACCTTTAACTGTCTTCTAAAAGAACAATTCTCCTTACTTAAAGAATCTGACAGATTTTGGTATGAAAATGATCTACCTCCCAGCTCTCTGACAGCTGACCAAATCAAACAAATTAAGAAAGTGAGTTTGGCAGGGCTTCTGTGCGCCAACACGGATGATTTGGACAGGATCCAACCAAAGGCTTTTGTTCAGGAGGATGTTTTCTTGAATACTAGGATCAGTTGTGAGCAGTATTCACTGCCAGACTTGTCAGAGTGGGTTGAGATGGACTACATGGCTGATTTGAGTGGGGACTTGCTTATGGAAGCTCTGGCAAAAGCCGAACAGGAAGTTTTGGCCAGGAGAAAAATGGAATATAAAGTTTTTACTGAAAGTAAGAACAAAACAAAATAAAATAAGATTTTTATTAAAAAATAATGTTAATTTTCTTTTTAGTTGGAGGGGTAGACCCGAAATCACCTCAAGGAATAGCAGCGTCGTTTAGCAAAGCTAACACAAACGCCTTAAAATTAGCAAACACCTCACTATTATTTGAGTTTGCCTCAAACGAAATAGTTAACTCTTTACTGTAAGATCTTAAACACATTCTTGAAGCTTCTTTTTATGTTTATATTCCATATTTTCAGGCATAGAAGAAGAAGACGTCAATTATTTGACAGTCAAGCTTTTGCTTCAGTTTTTAGAGACGATATCAGTGAAGGACTTCAAAACGTAGATATTTCTTCAATTATACCACCTCACGTATTCGATGTTGATCTTCAATGTGAAGATAGTGGACCTTGTGATGCTTCCTCTCCTTATAGATCTTATACAGGATATTGTAACAACTTGAAACACCCGAAATATGGTCAAGGGTTGACCACGTTCAATAGGTTACTACCCAGCGCGTATGATGACGGTATTATGAATGTTTTTTGATTAAATTATATACTAAATGACTATATTTTTGTAGGTATCTCCAAACCAAGGGTTGTAGGAGCCACTGGAGTGCCTCTACCTAACCCTAGACTCATTTCCAGGACTATTCATCCAGATATAAGCAACTTGCACAAAAGGTACTCGCTGATGGTGATGCAATACGCTCAATTTTTGGATCATGATCTCACATTCACTCCCATTCATAAAGGTTTTGATGAATCAATTCCAAGTTGTAGACCATGTGACAGTGCTAGGTGAGAATAACTCCAAATCCAAATTACTGTAGACTAAAATAAAGTTTATTATTTGTAGAACGGTTCATCCAGAATGTGACCCTATCCCAATCCCACCAGGCGATAGCCACTATCCAGAATTCAATATCACCACAGGAAAACAAATTTGCTTGCCTTTCATGAGGTCGTTACCGGGGCAACAGCACCTAGGTCCCAGAGAACAGGTCAATCAGAACTCAGCCTATCTTGATGGCTCTGTGGTAAGTAATTTCCATCAATTTTTATTTGTTTAATATTCTAGAAGTGTCTTCTTGTAGGTTTACGGATCAAGCCGTTGTGCTTTGTCTAAACTGAAGGGAAATAATGGTAAAATGAACGTCACTGAACGACCAAGAGGCAAAGATCTACTTCCTAGAGACGATAAACAGGCTGAATGTAGGTCAGCTTCTGGGTTGTGCTTTGTAGCTGGTGATGGCAGAGCTTCGGAACAACCAGGCCTAATGATGATCCATACTTTTTACATGAGAGAGCATAACAGACTCATGGAAGGATTACAAAGAGTAAATCCACACTGGGATCATCACCAGGTCTTTGAACAGTCAAGAAAAATCCTTATTGCAGGCTTACAACATACAACCTATAACGAATTTCTTCCTAGAATTTTAGGATGGAACGCCATGAACCTTTATGGTCTGAAGCTTCTTCCTCAAGGATATTATAAGGAATATAATCCCAACTGTAATCCTGCGATCTTCACTGAGTTTGCTACAGCTGCTTACAGGATAGGGCATTCGCTTTTGCGACCACATATCCCCAGGATGGATAACAACTACCAAATTGTCGAGCCTCCATTGTTGTTGAGGGACTTCTTTTTCAACACTGACTACATGATGAACGTAATGAACTATTTCTCTTACAAATATCAGTTAAAAACTATATTATTTCTGATTTTCAGGAAGGTTTAGTAGATCAGATGGCCAGAGGGTTGGTTTCAACTCCAATGGAAACTTTGGACCAGTTCATAACAGGAGAAGTAACCAACCACTTGTTCGAAGACAAAAAAATACCGTTTTCCGGAGTAGATTTGGTGGCATTGAACATCAAAAGAGCCAGGGACCATGGTGTCCCTTCCTACAATAACTACAGGGCTCTATGCAACCTAAAAAGAGCAACATCCTTTGAGGATTTAGCCAGAGAAATACCCCTCGAGATCATCGAGAGGTTCAAATCTATTTACCCTACGGTAGATGACATTGACCTCTTCCCAGGAGGTATGAGCGAGAGACCTCTTAAGGGAGGTATAGTAGGACCTACTTTCGGTTGTATCATAGCAATTCAGTTCAGGCAATTAAGGAAATGTGACAGATTCTGGTATGAGAACGAAGATCCAACTGTAAGGTTTACCGAACAACAGTTAGCTGAGATTAGGAAGATTACCTTGGCTAAAGTGTTGTGTGAGAACACTGATACTCACAGTGATATGCAGAGGTCTGTGTTTGATTTACCTTCAAACTTTTTGAATCCCAGGTGAGTTTGAGTAAAGATTTAGTTGTTTTTTCTGTTATTTTAACGTTTTTGTTTAGAGTACCATGTAATTCTTTACCAACCATTGATTTCAACGCTTGGAGGGAGACCAGTTCAGGACAGGGTTGCAATATTGGAGGTAGACATGTACAAATTGGAGAAAGTGCCTTCCCTAGTCCCTGTACTAGTTGTATTTGTACAATAGAGGGGGTAAGCAATGCAATAACATTAATAAAAATACAACCTGACTAAACTACCGCCGGCAGTATAGAATATTGAAGAAAGACTAATAAATTGCACTAAAAACATAAAGAATACCGTCGTATACGAAGCTGGTGCACCAGGTCTTGTAAAATTGTTTCTATTACTTTTCTTCGGGGCATTTTTATTCTAATAGGTTTATCTGATGGTAATTCTCAAGAAACACATGTCATTTTTTAAAAAAAGTGCTTTTTATTGAGATTTATCTCTAATTTTCTTTATAGTATACGAATCTGATGCACCAGGTCTTGTTAAATTGTTTCTATTACTTTTCTTCGGGGCATTTTTATTCTATTAGGTTTATCTGATGGTAATTCTCAAGAAACACATGTCATTTTTTAAAAAAGTGCTTTTATTGAGCTTTATCTCTAATTTTCTTTATAGTATACGAAGCTGGTGCACCAGGTCTTGTAAAATTGTTTCTATTACTTTTCTTCGGGGCATTTTTATTCTGATAGGTTTATCTGATGGTAATTCTCAAGAAACACATGTCATTTTTGAAAAAAAGTGCTTTTTATTGAGCTTTATCTCTAATTTTCTTTATAGTATACGAATCTGATGCACCAGGTCTTGTTAAATTGTTTCTATTACTTTTCTTCGGGGCATTTTTATTCTATTAGGTTTATCTGATGGTAATTCTCAAGAAACACATGTCATTTTTTAAAAAAAGTGCTTTTTATTGAGCTTTATCTCTAATTTTCTTTATAGTATACGAAGCTGGTGCACCAGGTCTTGTAAAATTGTTTCTATTACTTTTCTTCGGGGCATTTTTATTCTGATAGGTTTATCTGATGGTAATTCTCAAGAAACACATGTCATTTTTGAAAAAAAAGTGCTTTTTATTGAGCTTTATCTCTAATTTTCTTTATAGTATACGAAGCTGGTGCACCAGGTCTTGTAAAATTGTTTCTATTACTTTTCTTCGGGACATTTTTATTCTAATAGATTTATCTGATGTTAATTATCAAGGAACACATGCCGTTTTTTGCTAAAAGTGGTCTTTATTGAGTTTTATCTCTAATTTTAACGGCATCAGAGATGGCTATGAAATGAAAATCGCTGTCATTTTATATGTAAAATTACATGGGGAATGTCATCGATCGCGTCATTTCGAAGCCAACCGGACGCCGTTTTTTTTCTCGATCATACGGTATATTAAAATATCTTTTCACGCTTTATCTTTTTTTTTCAGGCAAATTGTGCGTCTCTAAAAGTGAACGATTGTACAAGACTGCTCAGAGAATGGTCAAAAGACACTATTCTACAGGACGAAGTCTGCACAGCACAGTGCGGGTTCTTGTTTAAAGGTGGTACCAGGGATGTACCCTTCGGACTGGTACCGCCTCCACCACTGGCGAGGTCTATGAGGAACAGGAATGTGAACAGACCACCGAGATTCCCTTCTAGTACCAACATAGATTTCAGTGGATTTAAATTCCCTAATTTATCACCATTTATCTCAAAATGAAGTGTATTGGTATAAAAGGATTATAAAGGATATGATTAAAAAAAACAGTGATACAAAAAGCCATAATATGTTAACTATATGTGAATGAAACTAGCCCATGATCGTAGAGAAAAAAGAATACTTAATAAGTTATTTAAGTATTTTTTTAAAAAAGTTGTATAGAAAATGTGTATAAGAAAAATTGGGAATTATAAAAAAATAACACAAATAAATAAAAAAAGAAATTAGGAAGGATTGTTTTACAAATATTTTGACAGTGCCTAAATATAATGTAAGGACATACATAACAATAAATTCTAGTCCAATAATTTTACTATATATACCGGATGTCCTAATATTTTGAATGTAGTATATTCAGGCTTCAAGAAGACAGTGAAGAAATTTTTAAAAAAATAAACAACCGATGATCTCCTATTATAATTGTCTCCTATATTTCTATTTGGTTGTTTATAACTAAACAAAATAAACAAAATTACCTCTTCTGTCCTATTATAGGACATTATATTTTACTTTATTTTTACAAATATAAATTATTATAGTGTGTATAAACCCTTTATATATAAGTTTGTTGTTTTTATATATTATTTTAAATGTATTTTATTATTCAGTATCTATACAAATGTAAGCACACTGCCTATCTGTTGTTGTAAAAATACAGTTGTAGAAGATGAAAAAAATGCAGAATTAAAAATCCTCTATTTTATGTATTTAAAGAATAAATAAAAATTGTTATTAGTTATTTAAAAAATGTCGTTTTTATTGCATCCTATCCTATTTTTTTATTTTTACCTATAATGTACCACTGTCTACACCTAGTAGGGCTTTGACAGTCATAATATGACTGTCTAGACTTAGTAGGGCTTAGAGAATATAGTCTGTAAAACGAATAACTTTGAATTTGACAGTTCCCGCGGGCTTTTCTAGTGTTAATTTTATTAGGTTAGCATCTTGCGGCCATGCTGACGCAATGCCGTCTCTAATAGAACAGCCTCGGAGCGAGATTTATGACGTCACGCTAGTTAGATACTACGGATTAATAAATATGTTGTAGAATACATGGAAAACATAATTATTCCTCGTATTTTTGGTTTGTATTTTAAAAATGATATAGTATACATGAAATATACATAATATACAGTTAATAAATACAATATATATATACATACCTCTTTATAGTAATAAATACTTTGGCAGATAAACTATGAACCATACAAATGCAGCAAATGTTTTACAATATGGCTGAAATCGTACTCCATAGTCAATGTAGATAGTTTTTGTGTTAAGAATAATAATTTAAAAAAATATATGGTCATCTTTTGACAAGTTTATATTAGTTTATTAATTGCAGTAAACATTATAATATATAAATAAATTTTGTAAATGCAAATAATAATACATCACTATTAGTAGATATTGAATGTTTTTCGTTAAATTAGATCGATTTTCGAACCCCAAAATTTAAAATATATTTTACATTTTACCCATTCTCTTATGTACCATCTATTCATTATTTGTATATTGTAAAACATTTGCTGCATTTGTATGGTTCATAGTTTATTTGCCAAAGTATTTATTACTATAAATAGGTATATATTATATTGTATTTATTAACTGTATATTATGTATATTTCATGTAAACTATATCATTTTTAAAATACAAACCAAAAATACGAGGAATAATTATGTTTTCCATGTATTCTACAACGTATTTATTAATCCGTAGTATCTAACTAGCGTGACGTCATAAATCTCATCATGTTCTATTAGAGACGGCATTGGTCTAATATTTAGAAATGTCAAAAGCTGATGACATTTTACTTTTGTCAATTATGACATTTCGTGTTGATTTTTGCAAGAAGAGGAAGAACTGTCACTTGTTTTATTATTTTCCTTTTCTATTTCACGAAAGTAAAAAGAGTTACCTATCTGATTCGTTCAGGCACTCAATTTAAAGAATATCAGTAACTTTTTTGATAGAGGGATTTTATATTTGCCATGTTGGTAAAAAATAACGGTCAAAATTCAAAGTTATTCATTTTATAGACTATAGTATATAGAAACATTTATTAAAAAAAAGAATAATATGACAGTCGTTATTTCAAATACAGTAAATTATAATTTTTAAAAAAGTATGAATTTTGTTTGAACTATGAACCATGCTATGTCTCTAAGGGCTATTGTACAGGGTGTGATCCTGTGTCTCTTACGGTTTCCGAAATCCCAATGATGAGTGTCGAATTCGAGTCACCCTGTATAGGATGTCCCATTTTCGCGTGTTTTCTCTTTTATGAGTAGGGATACATGACAGAAAGAATAATATGACATGTCTGTTGATAATTTAATGAAAAACGGTTTACCAATGTTCTTAAAAATAAACAAGATATATTATTTTTATTTAACTTTTCGAAATCTGTAACTTTTTCGGGAAACATTTTAGAGCATATGTTTATAGGGACTTTTTGTTTTATTTTTACCTGTAGAATTATCCACCAAAGTAAGATACACTATTTTTTGACACCCCGTATAATTAAATTATAAACCGACAAAATTTTCAATTCTCAAACACCTTGAAGGCTTATTTATTTAGTTCAATATCAAAATAAAGAGTACTATATTAAGCATAATCATATTATCTATCACTAAATAACTTAATAATAAGCTTTTTATATCTTTGGCAAATAAAAAAACAATAAAAACTTACAAATCGGTGATAGAAAAACGCCAAAAAACATCGCGCTAACCAAATCATCCCGTTTAACACATTAACACCCACTCAGGGTCAAAGTGGTACGGTACGACACAAGAAAAAATAAAATGGAAAGTGTACTCCTCCAAGTATACGTCTCGTGATGTTTATTGTTATGACATCCGCTAGAGTGAATCCGGTTGTATACACACGTGGACAAGTTACAAGAATATTACATTAGACATCACGAGGTCTGTGCATATTTAAATATAGACACGAATTTGTATATAATTATAGATATAAAGTAGTATGTATGTATGTTTATATAGGTATAGCAGCCCAATTTTGAGTAGCAGGGCAATATCATATCACTACAGGATCGAAGAAGGTTCGTCTCAAAAATACAGGGTGTTTTAGAAGATCATTATAATCATAAAAATCTACTATTTTGGTCAAGTCACCGATTTTGTAGTACGTAGACCGTAAAATTTCCTACAAATTCTGAAATTTTCATAATTTTATCGCCTATGCTTGATAATTTCTATGCAACCTGAAATCGAAAAATAAGTCTCTTGCCAAGTCGCCGATTTTGATAAAAATGCTGTTAATAACTAATTAAAAGGTGTAGAACATGAAAATATAAGCTTTTTTGGTCGTACGAGTACAGTACTAGATGTAGACACCTTTCAGTTATCATCAAAAATTATTCTGAAACAAAAGTTCAAAAAATCATTTTTTTAAAATAACCAAAGAATTTAAGCCTATAAAAGTTTATATATTCTAAAAGTGCATAAAATTTCCTACAAATTTTGAAATTTTCATAATTTTATCAGTATGTTTACTATGTTTCCAAGCACGGTGAAAATGTGTAAAAAATATTCAAAAATTGAAAAATTTTTGACGTTTTTTCCATAATATAATCATGAAAATTGGCGATTTTTCTCTAGTCTTCGATTTTGATGAAACTACTGTTATTAATTAATAAAAGACGTAGAATATTAAAATATAGTCCTTTTTGGTCGTACGTGTACGGTACTAGATGTAGACGCACTTTTAGCCATCGTCAAAAATTATTCAAAAACAATGGTTCAAAAAATTGACTTTATAATAAAACCAAATCATTTAAACCTATAATGGTTTATATATTCTAAAAGAACATAAAATTTTCTACAAATCCTGAAATTTTCATAATTTTATCACTATGTTTACTATGTTTCCAAGCACCCTGAAAACGAGTAAAAAATAGCAAAAAATTGTCAATATTTCGATTTTGTTCCATACGAGTTATAAAGAGTTATGAAAATTTGCCATTTGGCAATCACCGGTTTTCATTAAAATACTGTTATTAACTAACTAAAGTACGTAGAATATGAAAATATAGTCCTCTATGTAAGAAACTTAATATAGTCCTCTATGTAAGCAACTTTCAGCCATCATCAAAAATTGTTCAAAAACAAGGGTTCAAAAAATCAGTTTTATAATAAAACAGTAGCAGTTAAGCCTATAATGGTTTATATATTCTAAAAGCACATACAATTTCATAAAAATCCTGAAATTTTCATAATTTTATCACTGTTTTTACTATTTTTCTATGCACCCTGAAATCGAGTACAAAATAGCCAAAAATTATCAATTTTTTGACTTTTTTCTATACAAAAAAGTCACCGGTTTTGATAAAACTTCTCTTATTAACTAACTAAAAGACGTAGAATTTGAAAATATAGTCCTTTTTGGCCGTATGAATTTTTAAAAATTGTTCAAAAGTTGTTCATAATACAGAGAATTAATTATACCAATTTATAAAAAAAAAACATTCTTGTTTTTTTTCGTACATGTATGTATAATACAAATTGTCAAATTTTCTTAAATTTAAAGAAAAATATTGATCTTAACATAAATTACAAGATAGACATGATAAATTTTGCAATACCTACTTCTTTAATTACAATTAAAGACACATTTACAGACAAAATACCAACAAAATAATTGGTTTAATGACATTTCGTCTCGGTTTCCATATCGGTACTGCCTTTGGTACTGCCTCATCATCATCTCCCATCATTGTTCCCATCGCATGCTAAAGCATAGCCCCGAGCTTTCACTCGTCATAAAAAACACAAGAAGCGAAAGACAGACATATCAGTACGGTGTGGGTACTGCTATTAGTAACTCGCGCCGTTTTGATTGTTCTTGAACGCGTCGTGATTGGTACAATAAATCGAAATCTTTAGTAGTGGCACCAGAGACGGTTCTATAGAGTGTTTCTTTGATTTATCTGAACTGAACGAGGGAAAATAGAAGGCACTATGGGAGTACTGCAGTTTTGGTGAGTTTTTTTACAATTAAATTATGCGTGGGTTCAGGATTCTATTATATTGAATTGTGGGAGGTTTCTAGTACTTAAATTTAATCGATTTATTGATAACTAGCGTGTACCTGCGACTTCGTTCGCGACGAATTTTTATATAGAAAACGTGGTAATATTTGAGAGGTAGTTTGATCTCGTTGGAATTTGACTTTCAAAAAATCCGTTTGCCAAAAATAAGCTTTTTACGTCAAGCAGTTTAAGCAGAATCGTGGTTAATCAATTACCCAACTTTTTGGAATACCCTGTATGATTTTTTTAAAAAAATTCAAAATATGTAAAAAACAAAATAAATTATCCAAGTGTCCAAGCGTTTCCCGAAAAACTAACCGTTTTTTAAATAACAAATATTGTAATATTTGAGGGGCGTTTTCACCCTCTTGGAATTTGAGATTCGAGAAACCCCTCCTCATCGAACCTCTACACCTCACAGTCAATCCGTTTGCCAAAAATCAGCTTTAAACGTCAAGCAGTTTAAGCAGAATCGTGATTACTCAATGATCATATTTTATGAAACACCCTGTATACATTTTTAAAAAAACTTAAAATATGTAAAAAAACAAAATAAAATATACGTGTTTAGTGTTTAAGCGTTTTTTTAGAAACTTGACCGTTTTTTAAATATAAAATATTATAATATTTGAGGGGTGGTTTCACCCCCTTGGAACTGGAATTTCCAAAAATCCCTTCTTATCGAACCTCTACACCCTAGAATCAACCTGTATGCCAAAATTGAGCTTCTTACGTTGAGTGGTTTGAGCAGGATCGTGATTAATCAATTTTTCTTAATGATAAAATCTTCTGACGCTTAGGAAACTGTAGTTAAATTAGTCAAAATTTCGGTATGTTTCAGTTAGGTATACAGGGGAACTCAAAACAGGTACACAGGTACAAAATTCGAGAGTAGACTGGTTTAATTTTTCCAAAAAAAAACGACAAAAACTTACTTAATAATGTTGCACGTTTAGTATTTTGCACGTATTGGTATATGGAAGATAGCTGGGAAATTCTCTAGCCGTCTTTGACGCCGGTTTTTTGCAATAGTATGGTATATCCAAAAGTACCTAATATTTAATAAATAAAAAAAATATTGAAAGCTATTAAAAATAATTTATGCAAAATTAAAAGTCAAAATATTCAATTTAATTAACAAGAATTTCATACTTTAAAAGTTTCAAATTCGATATATTTTTCCCGCAAATTAACAACAATGCGTTAATATTAATAACAAACAAGAAACACAATATCTGTAACCCAGTAATCCAGAAAAATAAGTTACATAAACTTGCACTTTCTCACATTAAGACTTTTCTACGTTAAAAAAAATCTTGTGCATTTAGCAAGAACACTTAACTAGATAATTGAGTACTCAACCGCAGGCTAAAGTATCTGCAGTACTAGCAGAGTACCCAGCCTCTTAGATAACGTCCTTTTTGCGTCTCAGTGAAAGCGAAAATCTGTCATAATTGATACACTGGTTCAATTATAGTTCTTGTAATGATAAATATTTACTTCCTTTTGGTACTCAGGCTGCTAGGAATAGAAAAAAATGTGTTAAAAATTTCATCTAGGTTAAAAAAATGCATTTTTTAAATCGAAAAAATAATCGAGTTGAATTACAAATTGTTGAAATAAATCTAAATCTAAAACAACTAAGAAAAATACTGTATGTAATAAATCAGTACTGCCTACTCATTCTCGGTGTAATAAGTTCTCAGATTATTTTCTTTGTGAACTATAGATCAAAATTTACTTCCTAGACATTAAAGAATATTTAATAGGCAATTATTCGATGCCTCGGGGGATTTTACTACATTCAAAACAAATTAACTTTCCAAATTCTTATGGGTCTAAATTTGTGTCTTGCGAGTATATTCTTACTTTTAAAATAATACAGGGTGGTCCAGCGTCTCAAAAAAGCTCCATATCGTTGTTCCTATTTGATATTCTCACTCGATGTAGAATGTAGATATAAATATATTGTAGGTAGATTTCAAATAAAATACTCTATATTTTTTGATCGATTGTTTAACAACTACAACTACAAGCTGGATCACCCTGTATATTTTGCACTTCTTCTATCTGAATATGTGTTATAAGCCCACCACATGTAACAAAGAGTTAAAAAGAAATCATCGAAACAAATGACTTGCAGAAAATCAAAATAAAGAGAAAAAATAAAGAGTCACCATAGATTACATAACTAATTATTCATGTAGCTTTCACCTTTATTGAGAAATATTTTATAGTAAACATTTGAGAACAATATATTGATAATATTAATAATATACAGGGTGGGTCTTAAATAAGTGCGAATATTTTTAGGGCTAGTAGATTTCGAACCCAGAAACACGATAATGAGGTTTTTTTGCAAAAAAAAATTGAAAATTTGAATTTTTTTTTTAGTTTTTAGATAAAAAACATAATTTCTTGATAATATGGCAACATAGGTAGTAGATTAAAATTACAAGAAAGGAAATCCAGGAAAGATTCAGTGCTTCTGAAAATTTAAGCAAAAAATATTTTTTTTGGAAATTTTCAAAGTAGAATAATTCGGTTATTTTGGACTTATTTGAAAAAACGATAAAGAGAAAATATGTTTCTTTTATCGAAATCTACCGGCCCTGAAAATGTTACTTATTTAAGACTCACCCTATATATAGAACATAAAATAAAACTTTATATTTGAATATTTATGTTGTGATTGATCTTGATCTTGACTTGATTGATCTAAGAAAATATTGCATTTTTTTTAGATCAATCTCTTTATTTTTTTTTTATTATACATAGGGTGTTACTCATACACTGAGTAACACGCGCAAAGATTAAAAATGAGACAATTTTAACTCGTAGTAAGTATATTTATTTCGAATCTATTTTATAAAAAAATGTTGAAAATTTTACGTATTACTTGACATTTTTCTTTGGTGTATCAAAGTTGATTTTTACAATTTCTAAAGTCTCGAATGTATATGTCTCTTTTATAATGACTAAAGTCTCGACCAAAGTAAAACCCTAAATTGTAATAAGTTCATGGAAAGTAACAATGCTATACTAGCTTGGACAGGTGAATGGGTTAAATCATGTTAGATTTTCAGTGAAAGGTTTGTAAAACCCTGTTTTAGAATGTATCTTCTTTTTATTTAGATAGATGATCAAATCTCGTAACTATATCTACTTTCACACAGTCGGGGCATCTTTAATAAAAACCATAATGCTTTGATTTAGCGATATTAGCGACATTAGCAACAGAAAAGTAAAAGTTAGTCGTCTAATAACACTTAATAATTCGAAAGATCAGCAAGAAACTCAGTAAATCACAAGCCTTTCTTTCTTTACATCACGTCATTAATATTATTATGATACTCTCTTTTTTAAATATACAGGATGGTCCATTACTTGCTAAAGCGTCAATAAGGCTTTAACATGATTTTTAGTAAAAAAAGTTTCTAGTAGTAAAATTGAAAATGATAAGTGTCAGATTTGAAGTAGATAATTTATTGCTCTAGATATATCTAATACCAACTCAGCCCGGAACACCCTGTATATGTATCTAGCTATAATTAAAATAATTTATTCTTCCATGATCTACTTTTAAAGGCAAAATACCAACGAAATAATTATTGCTTTACCGGCATTTGGTATTTTGCCTCAAAATAATAAAACTTTTCTAAATTTATTAGGGATGTCGAATATAAGTATCCCATCAATGAACATTTTAAGTGGATGGCACATATCTCACTATTTCAAACGTATCTATTAAAATCAATTAAATTCAACGTAACTATTACGGTACTGTTAAGTAATAAGTTTTGTTTGAATTAAATTAAGATTATTGATACAAGTCAAGGCTCTGTTTAAGAAATACTACACCATTATTACAGTAAAGTGAATATACACGCGTGTGTGTAGGCATTTATGCGTTTGTATATGTACCTATTATTACAGAATTACGTTTGACTGATATAGAAGAAAAATGCATAGAGGGGAAGGCTGCAAATTTGGGACAGTAGTAATGTTAGCTGTCAAAATATAAAATATGTTAATATCTCAAAAACTGCGACTTTGACTGATTTTGATGTTGTTACAAATTTTGTTGCAAATATTATTCCTAATCTTAAATTGAAAACAGCGTTTCGCTAGCTACTGTAATTTTGGAGTTACAATTTTTTTAAATTTTTAACCCGCTCCCATACTCCATTCCAACCCCCCACCCCCACCAAAAACTAATGGCCAGATTCTCGGGTGCCACAGTATTTTTTGCCAAATTTGGTTAAAATCGGTTTAGCGGTTTTTGAGTTATCGTGTTACAGACGGACAGACAAACGGACAGACGGACAGACAGACACCATGAAAATATTTTGTATTTAGGTCATTTATGACCCAAATAACTCATTTTGAGTAAAATTTAAAAAAAACTTTTTTTTGTCGATCTTAATAGCTAAAAAATACTAAAATAACAAAGTATAAAGACAAAAATTTTGAATTAAGAAAACTAGTTTATTTATTATTATTTTTCGGTTAAATAAAATTATACCCCTGGGTTATAGCGATTTCATATGCTTTTCATGGTTACCCATTCATTATTTTTTTAATAATAAGTACCACTTTAATAGATCGTTTTTATCAACTCCAAAATCTAAAACACGAAATCTATTTTACGCAAAACGTTTTTATCGTCGATCACATTCGAATTAAAACAAAAGAAAGAGACCGGAAATCGTATAGTACCACTACTATTATTAGAAATAAAAAAAGGGAGAAGAAGAAAACAAAAGAACCGCGCGGTACTCGTGGTGAAATAGGTGAGAGTGTTTCGCGGTGACGTCAGAGGTACCACACGAACAGCCATCACGTGGTTGTTGCAGATGCAATCATCACGTGCCCTGGTCGTTCAACCTTGACTTATCGCGCTGGTACCGGCACCATCATTTTCCAATTGGCGGCGAACTAAAAAGCTC